GCGTGAAGTTAACGATTTTACATAGTTGAAGATGCCAAGTTTCAAATAACAGACTTAACGTGGTCATCTATCTAATAAGATGAGGAGATTGAAAGTATAGAGTTGATAGTTCCGTTAGAGAGTACGGCAGTGTGAAAATTGTATATAGGGGTAAGAGGGGCATAGTGAACAGGTGGGGCATAGTGAGCATCCCGTGCATCAGCTTGGACTTCCGGCCGTTCGGAACAAATTGGTTGGTGGTAGGATCAATATAATAATGATATTGAACCTACTACTACCAGTTGATTTGTTTCATGCAGCTGGAGATCCAGAGCCAAACTGCGGGATGCTTACTATGCCCTAACTGGTCACTATGCCCCTCCTCCCCCTATAAAGTAGAAAGCGAGCAAGGACAACTTTGAGGAAGGTACGAATCGGGTAAATCATCTCTCTTTACCAAACTCCCCCGTTGGAGAGGGATGGCAAAAATTGATGATCACCGATTTGTAATCTAGCGCAGTTTAGCACCAAACGGAATGTTATTATTACTGATGGCTTCCAAATTTATTTACCTTTCCGTACGTACCGTAAGATTTGCTAAAGAGAAACCAATCGTTGAGATATTGTCAAAAGTCTAACACTGCTTCGTGACGCCAAACTCGGCCTACGGATTCTAAACTCGGCCTAACGCATTTAAACGCCATTGAAAGGCCAATGAATTCACTTCGGCCTATCGGATGAAGATAAAAATTGATTTGGTCGGAGCGCTCCTTTTGTTTCTGGGAATAATGGGTGCAAACCTTCATATCACGCGTTCTCATTGACTTCGTTCCGTAGCTTAAAAACTAAAGTATCGTACCAAACGCACAATTGACTTGTTAACTCTGAAATCAAGGATTTATTTGATGTTTTCTGCTCGATAGGCCCAAAATGGGCGATTAGGCCGAAGTAGTTCTCTACCCTACTGCTACTGTACCTTTCGACCAATGATATGATTGATGGTAATCTCCCATCTAGAGTTATGTACTTTAACTATATTTATGTTTGTATTACTTTTGCATGAACTTAACGGTTTTACATAGTTGTAGATGCCATGTTTCAGCCGCTCACCATCCCGCTCCAACGGGATAGTTTGGAAAAGAGAGATGATTATCCGGATTCGTGCCTTCCTCAAAGTTGTCCTTGCCCTCTTTCTACTCTCTATATACAATTTTCACACTGCCGTACTCTAACGGAACTATCAACTCTATACATACTTAAATATCCTCATCTATCGTATAAAATGACCATCAAATGATGTTATTTGAAACTTGGCATCTTCAACTTAACAACTGTGGTTGATTTTGCAAGCTGTGATATCGCAGCTCAGAATATCAAGCTAACAAAACTCACCAACACTTTTAAGGTGGAACCACTGTACACTTTCAATCTGCATTATGGTCCCATACAACTGTACCAAATTTGAACGAATTTGGTTACGTTTCATGATTTGCCGAAGAACTTTAAAGCTTGAATGGGACAATGTAAATGATTTGAACTATTCAGTTGGTTGTATGAATAAAGTAAATAGATATTCATTTTTTGCACAAAACTTGAATCGATTTGCTGTCTTCGACAACTGTGCAATTTTTTTTTTAATTTTAGGCATGCAAATAAACAATTTTACTCCGTTCTTCATACATTTTCCCACACAAACTTTAAAGTTCTCCCGCATCAAATCATTACCAAATTCTTTTATATTTGGCACAGTTGTTGGAGATCTCCTTCCTTCCTTCCTCCTTCTTTCCTTTATTTAACGTCGGTCTCTGTTCCGCAATCTAGTACCAATCACCGACGGACATCGATTGCCATCCATTGACGGCAATCGAATGTGCAGGAAAGCAGCTTCCACACCTGCGTAGGATATCGCACCCATTCAACACACATGGGCCGGGTTTTACTTCCCTTTCGAAGGAAGACGTGGACCAGAGATTTTTATGCCTCAGAAAAATCCCACTGACCTCGGCTGGGATTGAACCCAAACCCATTGGGGTACTAGAAAGCAGTCACGCTTACCACTACACCACCGGCGCCGGCTGTTGGAGATCTCAATACAGATCATAAAATCAGGGGTGTTGACCCATTCTAGTGCTCATCTTTCCAAGTATGTATGTACACGCAGATATATCAAATTTCTGTCTGAACCCATCGTTATAATCGTTATCACAAACAGCGGTAGAGGTAACAACAGCTGCAATTTCCAAACCTACCGACTAGATGCCTACGTGACATGACGACTTGAGTGTGAAACAATCGATAGAACTGTTTCCGCATATCGAAGGTACGTGAGCAAATCCGCGATCATCTGTTTTGCCAGTGGTGGCTGGGGAGATATCCCTCACCATCCCTCCCCAACGGGGGAGTTTGGTAAAGGAGACGATTAATCCGATTCGTGTCTTCCTGTTTTTTGACCTTTGCTCGCATGCTACTCTCTATATACAATTTTCACACTGCCGTACTCTAACGGAACTATCAACTTTTTTTTTCATCTCCTCATCCATCGTATAAAATGATAACTTTAAGCCTTATATTTGTCGTTGAGCATCTTTAGCTACACAGCAAAAAAATAATTTTGATATCACATCAAAGTGGATGCACTACAATCATGTCGAAAATTTCATGTAATTTTTATGAACACAAAAATAAACAAATGCAGTAAAAGCAGCATAATGTCAGTTCATGCACTGTATTAATGATAAATTTGTCCTTTTTGGCAAGTAATATTGCACCATATTTTTGACACGATTGAAGTGCACCCACTATGATGTGATATATAAATTATTTTTTGCTGTGTATAAAAATTGAGTTTTCCAACAAATCTATTTGAATTTAATAATCTTGTTTTTCCCCAGTGTAGGGTTTTTTTCTGATGGAATTTTCTTTGATAGTTCTTAATATTTTTTTACGAGCGGATTCAGAAAGTAAAGACTTTGAACCTCGCGAGCACTAACCTAATTTGAAATTGAAAAACCACAATATGAAAGAGTCACAATGTCTTACAGGTTTATTATCACATTTAAATGGTGTAATAACGTCCAATAACAGACTGCATAAGCAGTCCTTCGAAGAAGTGATAGATCAAGTTGAAGTTTTTCTCAATGTTAAAAAAGGTCGGGTAGAACAGCGAGAATCCTGAGAAGACTAAGTTATCGATTATATTTATGCAACTTAGTGATCCTTTTGATGTTGCTTTGACATAACACTTATTGCATGCTGTGTTCTTTGCAAAATATTTATATTAAAATAAATTTATGAAGGTGTCCACATTTCCTAGTTACTCACTAATCTCATTTCAGCATAAAGAAAGCCATTCACTTGCCATTGCAAACGTGGAATAACAATGAACGAAAAGAACCGTAACCCAGTAATGCATTGCAGCGGTAAAAGGTTTCTATCGTAAATTACAGGCCAAGGAGAGTAAAAGTGACGAAGATGACGAGGTGAAATTATAAAGTAAATGCAACAAGTGAATTACAAATGAGTTTGCATGATTTGCCGTAATGGCCATATATGAAAAATGGCCCTAATAACACCCTACTCGCCGATGAGATTGAATGATCTAATTCTACTAAATGAATCATCGTATGATGTAACATCATTAATGCATCTGTGCTACTTATATGATGTCTTGTGAGAAAATTTCTGTTTCACTATCATTGTTTCAATTTCGTGATTTGCTGACGCTTCGCAATTTTCCTCAAAATCACATTTATCATCAGACATGCTGTTGTAAGTTGTTGCAAATGCTTTGGTCAATTTTCCGGCCAATGTAGGTATCCGGCAAAATGAAAACCAACGCGAGAACAACGACGCACACCATACTCACACATAACATTGGGACCATTGTCGGATGGATATGTAGAGCACTTGCATAATAACTAACTGTGCCTGCGACGAGGTGATACCATTCTGTGCTGTCAGTCGAACCGTGGCCATATAATAACTGCATTTGATCACCCACACAGTGTGCGATGGAAGAGAACCATGAGTGGTTCGCGCATATGAAGTGCGAAATTGATTGAAATTTCGTGTAATAGGTTTTTTGATTCAGTAGGTCACCATTGATGGTTTGATAACAGTAAAACAAATATTTTTGTTTTTCTTCATTCGTTGGAAGATTGGAGTAGCTGTTCTATCAAATCGATTTAAAATGTTACTAAGCACTTTAAAACTTCCCGTGACCAGGATACAAATCACATCATGCTTAAGATAATGAGTCCAATTTCCAGTCTGGTTGAGGATCTTCTAATGTCGGAATAGTGTATTCGGAATTACACACAGTCGAAGTAGGGGCAAGAGTAAGCACTTAGTTTTAAAATTTTTGAAATTTCTTCACCGTAACATACAAATTTATTTTATAACTGTGAGTCGATCCCCTTACTATGTACAAAATCCCTTAAGAAAATCCCTAAGAGAAAAATAATAAATCCAGTTTGGGTTTGTTGTTGATTTAGAAAATAGACATTTATGAAACATTTAGTACGATACACACTTTTACCTCAGCAGTGGGGCAAACGTACGCAGTCGGAAATCATTGACTTAATCATCAATTAAGGAAAACAAAAAAAAATATTGTTATATGTTCGTCATCTTTACGCCATTTTTCTGAAGTATGAAATTCTAAGATATTACAAGAAGGTATTGATGCGTTTGACACATTAAAGCTGTCAATTTAGCTTTCATCGTCTTGATTTTATAATCGCTGTGCGCTCACGATGAGTGAGCACTCAGCGATCATAAAATCGATTGTGACTCATTTACGAGTTAAACGAGTATTCATAACGACTTATGATTGTATAATTTCGAGGAAAAAAATGTTTACGCTAAATGAGCATTTTCAACCTTACATTACGCACAGATTATTTGTATGCACTCAGCTATTTTCTTTGTTCAAGTTTCTTTAGCGGGGGAAATTAGCATTAAAAGTAGCAATTATAGATTACCAATCTCTTGTCCCTGTTACTCTACCAAATGTTTTGTACCTTTGAGGTTAGTTGTTCGTCGCGAAGAACAACTTGCACCTGAAAATATAAAAAGAAAGATATCAACGGTTATTATCGGGTAAATGATTTATTTAATGATAAAATGATTTCTGATCATGGCTCTCTCAGTGTTGGGTACACAGCAAAAAATAAATTTAATATTACATCCAAGAAGACGCACTTCAATCATGCCGAAAATCTCGTGTAATTTTTATGGCCACAAAAATAAACAAATGCAGTAAACGCAGCGTAATATCAGTTCATGCACTGTATAAATGGTTATTTTGTCCTTTTTGGCAAGTAATATTACACCATAAGTGATGTGATATTAAAATTAATTGTTTGCTGTGTAAACCAAACGGTCAGTTTTGAGCAGTTTATTGTGGCTTTTCTCAACAGTTAAGCAGTTTACCCTTTTGTAACAAGTCTACCAGCTTGTTTTGAAAGTGCTGCTCTTTGAGTACTTATTCATGTAAGAAACCTGACGGAATAATGTTGTGATATTTGTTTGATGAAGTGCAATGAGAGAGCATGATTTTGACAACATATAATTTATCTTACGTCAAGCCAATCCCGAAGTAGACCTGAATACTTACTTCTTGTTTCTAACTGAAACACACTTTATTCAGTAGTAAGTCGTAGTAATTTATATCATTTTTTTCAAACGGCGTAGCCATGCTTGGCATACACAGTTTTGGTCACAAACTGCTCATTTTCTAATAACTTTGCGCACAGTTGACAAAACATAGTTCTGTTTGAAGCAGTAGATATAATGAAGTTTAAGCTTGTAATAAATACGTAAGAAAAAGTAAATTTTAATTCTAGTAATAAACTGTATTGGTTTTTGCGTTGTAAAAATCAAGTAAGAAATGCTCGCTGCACATCTCGGACCTGTAACCGTAAAAATTCATTGGTGTTGATTCAAATGTTAAGATTTACCTACTCTTTGCATATCTATAGTAAGCTTTGATCCTAATCTATCAATTACTTTAAAGAAAATCAATTTTCAATAACTGAGTGAAAAGTTATTAACGAATGAGCAGTTGGGGTGCACATTTGTGCATGTCAAGCATGGGCGTAGCCAATAGGAAGACTTAAAAAAAATGTTCCAATGCTTAAAATGAACGACAAGAGGAATTTTGAGATTTATCGTGGAATCACTTCTCTGTGGCCAATGTTTGCCTGTTCGAAGATTTTGGAAATCATTGTAACTTCATTTAGCAGGATCAACATGGGCTCTGTCCCAAGAGGCATATATATATATATATATATACCTTATTGATGTTGCTGCATCCTGCTTACGAAATCTCGAAAATGCCGCTCAAGTTGATGCCATGTATACTGACTTAAAGTTTGTTTTCGATCAAGCTAATCTGAAATTACTACTGGCTCTGCTTGAAAAATCTCGTTGGTTGGCTAAGTTTGCTCGTTGTGAAAATTGTGTTGGAATCTTCAATGCTTTCACCAATTTATCTTTAAACTGACGTTTGTCAGAAAACAAGCAGACCCCATCTTGATACCCGATCCAGGTTGGAACTGAATAATAAACGAATTTGATATTATTCTCGATCTCATCAACGATCTATCCAGGCTACTACCATCAAGTTATCGGTTGTTCTATGCCAAAACGTCAACATATAGAGAAACTGGTAGTAATCCCGGCACCTTAAGGTGAATTGCTACGGAAACCTTACTTTTGATCAATCTCATTGTATGTATGTATGTATGTATGTATTTATATACAATCCAACTTCCCCTGTCCGGTGTTTTTATGGAAGAAAAACGTTTGCTGATCCCATTGCAAACAATTTTACCCCGGAAGTTGAAAGGTGATAGCTCTGTTGAGATTAAGTAACCCATTTCATAATGCCTGGTCACTCACGTCCATTTCTAGGTTACTTTCACTTACAAAAAGCCCCGCATACACGTAGTACCGATATAAAATGTATATTGGTAGGTACTGCGTGTACACTTCCATCATCAAAGCAATTCCTGCTTTGTAGATGGCACGTATTTAGTAGGATGCATTTCATATTTTTATATCTAGTTGTATTCAGTTAGATCTCACCACTTATGTATTGTGTTCTTGCTGACTTATAATTAGATTGATCTCACCAAATTTTCCGCCTCCTGTAAATCAGTCAATTTCACAAGCACACTAATACAATACATAACATCTCTGATCACGGGAAGTAAAGCCGTTTGTCCCCGGTTCATGAGATTGATGGGTTGACATGTAGGGTCCAGGTGTGGGAGTTGGCTCCCTGGCGTCAGTAGCATTGGTGCTCAGCACGGAAAACAAGATCGACGGAAAACAAATCAAGGAAAAAAAAGACCAGCATCCTGAGAGGTAACACCGGCACTCTTTACCAAACATAATTTTTGTACGTAAAATATAATTAAATAATATTTTTGTCAGGATTATTGAATATTGATGGTGTAGGGTCATTAGTTTGAATGGGTCATTTGGCTGGATTTTGATAGATTAGTGATAGATTAAACTCAGAATGTTCTCTAAAATAGCATTCAACACTCTGGGACTCTCAGAATTTTTCAAGATCTCTGACGAGAAGGGATATTGAAAACATTTAAAATCTCGAACATTGATACATTTTGAAGGTTCTGAACTCTGGTGGGGCAAAAGTTCGAGTGGATCAAAAGCTCGTTTTGAGATTTTCGATGCCCGTGCATAATAAAACTCAATGCTTTGGATTATGTTGGGAAGGTCTTTTAGAGCCAGACTTTCCCGCAAAAAAAAAAATCAAAAAATTGGTGATGTTCGAAGAGTTACCGGCAAAAGTTTGTTTTGAGAGGATAAATTATAACATTAGTATCTGCTTTGGGGGAAGACAACAAAAAATCAAATCACTAACGAAGAAATAATTTTATTTCAGGGCATGGTTGAGCATCTCTTGGTTTCGTTATGTCCTTCACACCGTCATGGGGTAATTAAAGATTTGTAGGTGCAAAACTTCTCAAAAACTATCGTTAAGTAAAATATAAATACGTTTATTGAATCATCATCTTCTTCTTAGAATCTTTTATCGCTTCTATAGTGAGCATTTTGCCGGCTCTCAACTTAGTGTTATGGATGAATTTTCACTTTATTAATTGAGAAGTTACTAAGCCAACCAATGCATCAATTTGTATATTGCGTGGCACGCACAATGATATGCCCAGGAAAGTCGTGAAAATATCTAACCTGAAAGATTTCCTTGACCAGGCTGGTAGGCCGCCTCCTGCTTGGTAATACTGTGCCTTTACTGACTAGGCTATCAGGACCATGTAAATATACTTAAGCATGCTTTGATAAAATCAACGCAGGAATCAATTTTACGGACCTTCCGGGCCTTCCGGCAGGTAATTTGGTGACCACTCAATGCCAATAATCAACATTTATATGATAAAAATCAAGATTTTACCATTCACCATACCATAGTGAAAAATCAAGGGAAATGACTAGTTAATACAAATCATAATTTTACTACATTCCATATAGTTGCACAAAACAATCAATACATGAAGAGCTTTGAGTGTGTTGGTTTATTGCCAAGTGGTGTTGAGTACTTGGCACTGATGAAATCTGCAAGTAGTAGACAAAATACGCGTATCTGTCAAAAGATAAGCAATTATAACGGAATTTAAAGAAAATAAACCAACACACTCAAAGCTCTTCATAAAGGGATTCCGTTAAGAGGTTCGACAAATTTAAAAGATCAATCAAGACATACTTTGATCAAGTTTACGTAGAACTCAATTTTACTGATATTCCGAATCTTTCGACGAATCGGAGCCAATTACCAGCTAATATATCTAAAATTACCATTTTACGACATTTCATGGTTGCAGAGAAAAATCAAGGCATATTTTGATCAAATTTACGCAACAAGCAGTTTTCTGGATGTTCAGGATCTGAGTACTACTCAGACCCAATAACGTGATAATACATCAATAATCAACATTTTACTACATTTCATATAGTTGCAGAGAAAAATGAAGGCCTACTTTGATCAAATTTACGCAGCAACCAATTTTACGCAGTAATCAATTTTGCTGATGTTCTGGAATCCAGAACATCCGCAAAATTGATTAACGTCAACCGTCACTGACGAAACTGACCGTTACCAACTCTGGATTTTCCGGTGACCACTCAGACCCAATGACCTGCTAACGTCTAAAATCACCATTTTATTACGTTTCATATAGTTGCAGAAAAAAAAAACAAGGCATACTTTGAGCAAAAATAATAATAATCAAGACTACGGTTGTTCCGGGTCACCGGATGGCCTTCCGGTGGACACTAAGTATTCAGAACCAGGTTGTGGGTGATTTTGTTTTATTATTAATCAGCACTTCCTATAGATGCCTGTTGCTGTGGTTTTCGAGCTTCACCTTGTTCTAGACGACTAATTACTTTTTTCCCCCGAAACCCAGAATAAAACCGGTACCACTTGTCCAATCTGTTCTAATTTTCAATAGACCATCCTTTCGCACATTTATCTACTTACTGTGAAAATTTCATCCAATTTCAAGGGGAAACAAAAAAGTTATACCCATGCAAACATTGCTATTTGTATGCCTGTTTGTAAAATTTAAAACCGCACAAAGCGCGTTAAGCCCTCACCAAAAGTAAAGCAGGTGGTGTCCATTTGAAACGCTAATAACTTTTCTGGGTTAACTCGGATTCAATTACGGTCTTGAGCCAATATGTTCCCAATACTCCAAAGGTTCTACATTTTGTACACGAAGAAAATCGACCAACTACAGTGTCACCTAGAGCCGCGAGTGTGAAAACGGCTCGTTCCCCCATACATTTTATCGATTTTCCGTATACAACTGTTCCCGTGAACCAAATGACTTCAAATTTTTGTAAGATTTTTCTAACCCTCCAAACTACCATTTTAAGGAATAGCGTTTGAAATTCCAGGATTGACTTATTTTGAAACACTCTAACGACATCCATCAGTAGAGGCGTTGCTGCTCTTCTGCTTCCGCAGCTTACAAAACGATGAGCCAGCGATTGGGACCATGCCAGTGTT